TGAGATAAAGAATAAAATGAAATGTTAAAATCAATATGTATCTCGCTGCATTGCGCGAGTACCCTTCTAGTACTATTATATGCAAGTCATTCTATATAGTTCTCCAATCTTAATTTAATCTTCATTTTATCTGTTTAACAATTTGATGATTCTTTACCACCTTAATTCTCATTTTCTCTGCATTTTCTTCACAAGAATTACCCACAAAAACGTTAAAAATAATATATGACTACTTATACAAATACTCTAATATATCATTATTACACGCAAAATGGGTAGTGAAATTTACGGTTTTAGTTTTGCTTCTTGATTTGATATGACTGATGTGGTCACTCGTTCAAAAGGTGATTTTTCGTTTCAAAGCATTTCACTATGATACATGCTATTTATGTATAAATGTGTTGACGTATTTACAAGAAATATTTATATATCAAGTGTTGCACGTAAATTCTCAAGACATGAATATGTGCGATATATGTTCGTTAATTAGACATAGTATGGATCGATAAGGAATCTACTATGAGGATTGAGGGGTACAAAGGCTGCTTCAAATCTTTTGACGAACAAATCTAATACAATGTCTCTTCGATCCAACATATTTCTGATCATATAATTAAATAAACTCGGAGCTCATCTTTAAAAGCTAAATTAAGGATTATAATTGTTCGTATGCTCAATTTCATCGTTATCAATATTGCATAGGGATTTGCATAATCAATAAAAACAAAATTTGAATTTTTCTTAAACTAAAACTTGATCGTCACGCAAATGCCTGTACCAGACACTATATATATATATATATATATATATATATATATAGGTGAGTTCAAATAAAAACCACTCAATTTGTAAAAATCGTGAAAACCTCATTCAACCAATCATAATTTTTCATTTTATTCATTTTTTTGTAATTATGAGCAGTTGATTAACCATTTTTATTGTGGAGAGTGTTAATAATGGATATTATCATCTTCATTATTTTAATTTTAGAGAAATACATGAAACAGTTTCATTAAAATCTTATTAAGTAGTATATGAAACAATTTCATAACCACATATGAAACAACTTCATCAAAAAAAGTATTATATGAAACAATTTCACAAGATTAACAATTTCATGAAAAAATTTCATAAAATTAACGACGGATGAGAGTAGTTTTTACAGTTTTTACAAATTGAAGTGGTTTTCATTTGATCGCTCATATCTCTCTCTCTCTCTATATATATATATATAAGCCCATATATTTACAAAATATGTATATTAAATTATGTTTTCAAATGACCATTACACAAAATAATACTTTTATCAAGGGAAAAAAATTTAAAAAAATCATTTTCCTTTTAAATTTGAAGATTTTCATCATCTCTTTCTAACTTTGTTCATTTTGAAGAATCTATTAGAACAAAAATTTCAACATCTTTATTTTAGAGAATCTGTTATTTAACTAATAAATTCTCAAAAAATACTTTAATTAAATATTTGATTAAAATATTTATCCAAGTTTTATTATTTATGAAACAAAAAATATAACACTTTTATATAATTTATGAAAATATTTTAAAAAATTACTAGAAGGGTTTCGTGCAATGCATCGAGACACATTTCCATTTCAATGTTTCGTTTTATTTTTTATCCATGTCGATATAATACAATTTTATGTGGTTTTGAGAAATCGATAATGTTTTTATTTTTGAATAAAATATAAATTTAAAAATATCATATAAAATTTGCAAACAATATATCAATATTAGTATCAAATTATCTAATTAAAAGTTCTTGTTTGTTTATTTTTTTTAATTCAAAATTTTTATTATAATTTAATTTAAGTTTAATAACGAAATAATTTATTTTTGGTTTAATAATATAACATTTTATAAAAGACAATAATTAACTATTTTGTTAGAACTCAATGATTATCTTAATTAGATTTTAGATTTTTTATATTTAAAATGAGATGTTTATCTTGTATTTGATTATATTTATCTGCATTTAGTTACACGAATTTATATATGGAGCTTTAATAAGTTGTACTTACGTACAATCTACTTATAATCTTGAGTTTTAAGTAATATGTATTAATAAACAGTACTTTATATATAAAAAATGATTTTTAAGTATTTTTATCAAATGCTTTATAATATAGTATAGATATTAATTAATAATCTAAAATTAATATTAATTAATAATAAATAACAAGTAATACTAACCATTTTTTGTCGAAATAAGCTAAAGTTATATATCACCTAAATCTAAACTAAAATCAGATAAAAGGCAACAAAATCTATACTATATTATAAAGCATTTGGCTAAAACTCTTAAAAACTCTTAAACTCTTAAAACTCTTAAACCCGTTCATCCATAAACAATTTCATCCCTATCCGATTTCATCTCATAACTGAATTCGTGTAACTAACTGCAGATAAACACAATCAAATACAGGATAAACATCTCATTTTAAATATAAAAAATC